AAATAAAATATGAAATGTCGGGTTTGCTTCGGGCTTGGGCCTGCAAATCAAGCTAAGTGATCGGGCTCGGGCCGGGTCGGGCTTTAATACCCTCGGGCCCGGTCGGGTCGGGCTCGATTTTTTAGGACAGATCTTATCTCTAAAACTATTCGAACACTTCATGGCCCGAAAGGCGAATGACGAGGACCCTGCATAGACATGGCGATCTTTCTCCACACATAGACACAACGGTAGAAGTCCCTCTTAGCCAATGGGTTGCCAGGATGATGCTCGGTAATAGCTAATGGCAGAGCAGCTATAAGTATGTTGCGTTCAGGAAACTCTGAGCTGCCACTAGCTGGTCATACTTTATTTTTCCCTTCCGTATCTTGAAATGTCTTCAGTAACAAGAGGCAATCTTTTCCTGTTGAGACGTTTTGTAACTTGAAAAATTTCGTATGAAGAGACGGTCTTAAGTAGAGGTACCAATGTACTCTAAATTGTCCTTAGGTGTGACTGTGAGTGCAAATGTTTTTTTGTCTATGTGTGCCCTGTGATTGGCTGGCAACCAGTTCAGGGTGTACCTCGCCTACTGCCCAAAATCAGATGGGATAGACTCCAGCACCCCTCGTGAGGATAGGTGGATTAGAAAATGGATGGATGGATGGATGGATGGATGGTTGGTTGGTTCGGTGCTGCACAACAGGTTCAATTGCACATTACTAGTATACTTTATGGTCAGTAATAGTAATGCTCCAGTAATATGTGTACAATGAATGTGAAATAGAGAGCATACCAAGAGTGATGTTTAAACAATGACAAATAATACACCCAATATGTAGTTTGCAAAGCATATATCAATCTGGGCATCATTCTATTTTCACTTGGGAGGCAGCTTGCTCGATCCATATCTAAAAATCTATCTGTAAGGAACAGAGTCACTCAAAATGAATTCAGAAATGATCAATAAATTGGGACATTATTGTCATGAGTTTAAAATGCAATCCCAAAAAATCCCCAGCATGGCCATTTAGTCTTATCGCAAAAATTGTTTATTAACAATGTTCACTTGGGATAAAACATTCGCCTTTAGCAAAGCTTTGTTTGCCAGTGAGTTTGTCTCTTAATCTGCATTGTCATTTCAAATAGTCTTCGAGAGAAGAGGGGGGAAAAGAAAGTGACGTGACACCGAGCAGAAGCAAACGCATGCACGATGCACTCCGGGAATGCTGCTCTGCTGGCTGTTTGACTACCGTTATCCAATAACTACATTTTCCCCGTGACAAGATTTCTGTTCACTGATTAGAACGGTCTTGTCACGTCAGTGTGCTTGTTGTGCATTATTGCGCAGCAGCTGCAGCATACAATACATCTTTGCTGTACGTTCATAAGGATATCCTGCAACAGAAACTTGACGGGCACAAGCGGCCTCCATGCAAACACGTGTTCATGTATATCAATGTGCAGTGGAGGCAAATGGGGAGGATGCAGTCTGCCTGAGCAAGGTTGTTGGCTGGACCTTGAAAGAATCCACAAGGCGAGTGAGAATGCCTTCAGGGAACTGTCTGATCCCTCCCAGTAAGTACATTTGTTTTATTCCAACGCCAAACTGTCATAATGTGATATCACAGCACCTTTCTCCACCTCACTTTAGTCAACATAAGCAGATTCATTCTTCGTGGGATTTTAATGTCCTTTTCTGAAAGAATGACACGAGTGACATTTACTCTCATTACTAGTTGTCATGTGGACAATGTTTCAGGTTACTTTTTTTTGGGTGGGGGGGGGGGGCAGGTTTTGACTTCCTGCTTACCATTCAGGACTCTCAGCTTGAGAATGGGAGGATATGATTTGGATCTCCTGCATTTCGTGTGACCAAGTGGTGCTTGCTACAGAGAGACTAACAGTTTAACGTATGACAGGGGTGAGTCAGCTCATAATTGTTAAAACATGACACATTGCCAGTGCAGTTAAGGAAGCGTTTTATGACCGTTTTGGAGCTTCCGCTGCCCGATGAAGATGTCATTTTGTCATTTTACAAGCAGAGCACAACTTGACAACCACTAAAGAGTGAAACATTGATCATCTTTCCGTTGAGGTTGATTTGACCTTCTCTAAAATGTTGAATGTCCATGTCCAACTCTTAAGTGTTTCAGTACTTTTTGCATAACTCTTGTTTCAGCTAGATAAAGATAAGCTGTCACCAAGTCGTTGAGTGAAACGGTCTCTGCTTCATTTCCACTTGTTTTTGCACACAGGCGGTGAGAACTATTTTAATTGTGTAGGATGGTCGGTGTTTATGGCCGCTTTGTCTCCATATTATGTCTATGCTGCCACATCCAAAAATTCTCTACACTCGCCAACTTTTTAGTACTCATCTTTGCACAGCTAACAAGACTTGGAAAATTTATAGCAGCTGATCTTACCCATATCGCAACCTCCAACAGGACTAAAGAAATATTGAAATACCTATCTCTTGAACGAAAACTGTGTGTAGTACATTTTATATCCATCCTGAAATAGCTGAATAGCAGTATCCCTAACTGAATAGTGTAAGCTACAGATGAAATGTTTGCATTCGAGCCGCAAGAACGGAAAAATGCAAGCTCAACTGGTCTACCAGGTCTGGTAGAGAATGCCAATGGCGCACCAGAACAGAGAAGGCACCAGGAGGGGAAAGCAAACTCCTCACTGTCACTCACTCAACTCCCATAAAATACACAAAGAATGACGACCTGCTGGAAACCCACGCGAGCAAACGAGGCTAACCAGACACGAGTTCCAGGCTAACCAGTCGAGCGCAGATTCCAGCGGCGGGTGGGGACGCCAGTGAGCAGAATCCATCAAGCCTGCCCCTTCTTTCGGGGAAGGTTTGCAGAATCTGTCACTCGTACAAACTTGCTCATGTTGTTTTGACCGCTTTCCACCATGCCAATTGTAGACGCAAGCTGGTAATCACAGAGTGAGAGGCGTGGCAAGCACTTCTGTGTTGTGCGTTTGTCACATTACAGAAGCACGGAGGCAATTGACCCGTGACGCGCCCGAGTCAAGAGCAAGAACAGCAGCCATTTGTCGCTCTCAACAAGAAAGCCTTGGCGTAATTTGCAATGACAACACAATGAGAAGTAACCAGGGATGTAGAAAACGTACAAAAAGGCACTAGCTGTTAACACAGGCGTCAATTTAGCGGGGCAAACGGTTTGGACGGGACGGGATATTAGCGAAGAACTACCTGCCCTCGCTCAACAATATGGCATCCTAACATGCGCTTCAAATCACTGCGGGTTACAAAAGATCGAAGAAACCATGCTTTTTGCTTGAAACACAAAGTAAAGGAAATCAACAAAGATTTTTTTTTTCCAAACAACAATTTCTAATATAGACAAAGTTCATTTCCTGTATGTTTTGCGTATAATTCACCTGCCTGACTCCTACTATGAAATGCAGGATACAGTACAAAGATGCCATTGGGGGGAAAGGTAAGTCCTTTTTGTGTTTTTTCTCTCTCACTCCTCGTTTCTTGATTTTCACAATGGCGTCTTGACGGAGAGCTCACAACAGCGTGCAGCCGCTTCTCTTATTGCGCTTGCGGACTTGTAACGCCGCCCTGGTGGCCATCTCGAACACCTCCCGCACGCCATCCTTGGTCTTGGCAGAACACTCCAGATAGCCAAAGGCGTTGATTCTGTTGGCCATCTCGCGGCCTTCGTCAGTCTTGACTGGCTCCTGCGTGTTAGATATTAAGTTCTTGGTTTACAATGTTCCCAAAAATTATGTTCCGAGGTTACAAATTGCGCACAATGAACTTGGTTTGTCACATCAGTTTCCGACGTACTTAACACACTGTTCATTTTATTTATTTCAAAAATGAGTACCTTACGACTGCTGACTCAGATTTAACAACATATTTGGGTTCCGTTGCTAGCGGAGGAATGGAACTCCATTTGAACCGAAGGGCTCTCGCCCTGCTATTTAGTCTCCTTTTCCACTCCGACCAGTGATGCTTTTCCATTGGTAGGACCAAGGTGCTCTTACTTTCTACCCAGGTCTGCCACTGCTGGTCGCTAACTCAAGGATGCAGACTCCACAGTCTCCAATTGGCTGCAGCACTCCGTTTTCTCACTGTCCTGTCTCGGACAAACATCTCCTCACCGAAAATAACTCAAAACCTTTGCTCCACATGTTCATCTCTGCAGAATCTTTGACATGGTATTGGTCAGTGCCAAAATTGTTCGGGTTTTTTTTCGTTTTTTAACATTTGCATTGCAATGTTGGACCATTTCCAGCATCAGCAAACCTCATTTCTCCATGTCCAGGATATCTACAAATTTGAGGGAGCCAAATTGAAGGCCACATGAAAAAATAAATAAATAAATAAATAAATAAATAAATAAATAAATAAAAAACAAAAAAAAAAAAAAACACATCTTCCATTTAGTGTTGGAAAGTAGCTACAGGGCTACCACTATATCTGTGTTTTAACCCGATGACTTTCCAGCTCCATAAAATGAAATCGTTGAACTGTGTCTCCAGCCTGATTTGGAAAAGGTCCTATCCTCCAGTCCTTTGAACGTGTACCTGCTTCATCTTGGCCAGCTCTCTCCGTGTGTGCTCGTCGTTCCTCAGGTCCTTCTTGTTCCCTACCAGGATGATGGGAACATTGGGACAGAAGTGCTTCACCTCAGGCGTCCACTTCTCGGGAATGTTTTCTGTCCCAAGTGAGCGAGAGAGAGAGAGAGCGAGAGAGTGAGATGAAATGCTCAAGGGAGTTGACTATAAAAAGGGGGACGGGCAGTGCAGTGTCACTTCTCATGATTGATAGCTCTGCAGGGTGCTCAAGGCAACTATGTTCTTAGCTACATTAATCCCACTTGCTTTCAGGCTGCTTATGTACTGACATAATCTCAAGTATTCAAACATTTTCTGTGAAGTTTGGGGAAACTACCCACTAATCCAAACATACCTAAACTGTCCGGGCTATCAATGGAAAAACACATCAGGATGACGTCAGTGTCTGGGTAGGAGAGAGGCCTCAACCTGTCGTAGTCCTCTTGACCTGCGGTATCCCATAAGGCCAACTCCACCTGCGTGAAAAGTAGCAAAAAAAAAAAAAAAAAAGACTGTTGTTAAAACATTTCTGGAGCCTTCAATATTATTCAGAGAAGAAATTAATCACTAGAGCGGAAAGCTACACAAACAATCGTCACTACATTAGTGTTGAGCATTGTCTCCTCTCCTGCCAAAAGTAGCGATGTAGGAATTAAAGTGTCTGTGAGACGTTTTTCCCTACGATGCCTAAAAGGAAATATATTAGTATTTTTTTCACAGTCAAGAACAAGTCCTGGGTGTTCGAAAAAAATCTGTTCCAATCTTTGGCTAGCAAACACAAATTAATCAAGAATTGCATCATACTTGAAATAGAGGTTTTGAAAGCTCAGTTCTGCCTCATGCAAATAAGCCACTGCTCATCCCGCCCACCTGTACTGCACAGCCAATTACAACCATAGGGCAGGCTGTGTAACTAAAAATCCCTTGCCGTACTCGGGCCAACGGCAGAACCCCAGGGTTTTCTTTCCATAAATTTTAAATCCACCCGCTTATGTAGTACTAGGTAACTCTGATTTGGTGTTCGTTTTTAATGGACGATTCGCTTCTCTATTCAAGGCACCACGATGTGTGCCCTAGTTGCTGGGGTTAAACTGGAAAAGTTATGTATTTTTCTGCTGAAATCTGATGAAGATGAGAAGATGATCACTCAGACCTAATCGGTTTCTTATTTGTGTTGTCACTGCTGTGGAAATTTACACAGGGATTGGCCTAATCTCTGCAAACTGCTGATTAATTCAATTAGGGGAAGTGGGAGATTAGCAGGCATCAAACCAAGTACCTTCTGTGCTTGCATATGGGCAAACAAGAGCCACTTCTTGCCCTGCTGCAATCTTTTGGGAATTGAAGGTAAAAAGAGTATGACAAACCAAAAAGACCCTTCACTTAAAAATCAAAAGGCAAAAACGATGCCTTCCAGAGAGTGCAGGCATCAGTCCCAAAATAGAGGTCTGCAGAGGAAGAGGGTAGGAGGTGGCAGCATGATGCATGAGCAAGTGTAGCGACCGTGCTCCCACGGGCTTTAGGCTTTTGGGAGGAAAAACAGAACCAGAAACATTTAATTTTAGAGAAGGTCGGATCGGCTTGAAGGTGAGAGATTTCAGTGAAAGCACAAATCCATTTTATCTGGTTGTATAACGGTCTAATTCCAGAGGGAGGGGTGGGGTGTAAATCCTCTAAAAGTCACAGTGATCCCCCAGTGGAACAAAGTCCACTGTGGATCCGTGAATTTGAATTTCCTTTCATCCAAGTGCCAAAATGACAGGAAATGAGAGACTTTTATCGCACAGGAGGAAAAAAAGTCCTGAGGGATGGAGCGGGGGATTTGCAAGGACGAAGTACGTCTTCGTTCCCCGTCTGAACAGGAAGCTGGGAGGTAGACACATTTCCTGTTATGCTACGAAATGGTGATCCTGTGTGAAGGGAACAAATCCCGACAGAACAACACATCTATCCACAGCTCACACTCAGAACTTTGATGAGCAAAAAAAATAATAATAATTTTATATATATATATATATATTTTTTTTTTTTTTTTAACATATACATGGAGTACAGTACTGTATATGTTGCTCTATGTAACTTGCTGTTGTTTTGCAGCTTCTCACGGACCGTTTGTGGACTTTAAAAAAAAATTTTTTTTTTTTTTACCTGTTTATGTTAATTGGACGCTACTTCGCGGATTTTTGTTTATCGCGGGTGGTTTTGGTCCCCATTAACCGCGATAAACAAGGGATTACTGTAAATGGTTGTCTAATTCTCAATCCTTTGGCGTAAGACCTGGAAACTGAGACTGTAAAGAAAAAAAAGTTCATTATATGTTTCCTTGAATGAAAAGATGTATCCAGTTGCTAACTTAATTTACCTGGGGCAATGAAGTGTTTTCTGGAAAATGCACTGTCAAAAATGTTCCATCTAGAATGCATGCTTTCTAGAGGAGTAGTAGTGATAATAATAATACATAAGTTTTATATGGGTGGCATGGTGGAACTGGTTAACACGTCTGCCTCACAGTGCAGAGGTGCCGGGTTCGATTCTGGCTCTGGCCTTCCTGTGTGGAGTTTGCATGTTCTCCCTGTGCGGGTTTTCTCCAGGTACTCCGGTTTCCTCCCACATTCCAAAAACATGCATGGCAGGTTAATGGAACACTCTAACTTGTCCCGAGGTGTGAGTGTGAGCGTGGATGGTGGTTCGTATATGTGTGCCCTGCGAGTGGCTGGCAACCGGTTCAGGGTGTCTACCATCTCCTGCCCGACGACCGGCGGGATCGGCTCCAGCATGCCCACGATCCTCGTCAGGATAAGCGAATTAGAAAATGGATGGAATGAAGTTTTATGTGTCCCCATTTTTTATACGCTCACACATTTACACTCTGGTGGCGATACGTCCTGTAGCCACAGCTGTCCTGGGGCAGGCTGACGGAACCGTGGCTGCCAGTATGCACCTACGGCCCCTCGACCACCACAAAAACATTCACACCTAGCCATACACCAGTGCGAGTGACACTGGAGATAAGGTGCGTCAAGTGTCTTGCCCAATGAATCGACACATGACTCGGGCAGAGCGGGTTTCAAACAACCAACCCTTTGGTAACTGGATGACCCACTCTATTTCCTGAGCCATGGCTGCCCCAACAACAGATTAACATGAATTGGGAGTCTAGAGTTGTCGTTCAGTACGACAGCATCACGAGTACACTTACATTACATGCAAATCCTGTGTATTTGTGTGTCACATGCGAAATGTTATTTTGTTTTAGATGTTCGTTGTTCTGCAATACAGTTTTCCCCTCGCCACATCGCAGTTCAGTTCCTGCGGCATCACTACACATTTTCATTTATGACCATACCTTTCTATTTATTGCAGTTTTACCTCACTATTTTGCGGGTTTCCTTGATATTTTTCTTCCTCCTATGTCAGACCAGTCAAAACATGTTTTCTTTTTTTTTTTTTTCCCCGAATAAAAACACTGAGGATTTCACCCTATCATTGTTTGGATTTCAAGCGTGATACAAACCTGTTTGCAATCCACTTCAATATCAGCAATATAGTTCTCAAACACTGTCGGCACGTAGACTTCAGGAAACTGGTCTTTACTGAAAACGATGAGGAGGCACGTTTTCCCACAAGCACCATCGCCAACAATCACCAGCTTCTTCCGTATGGCCGCCATATCTGCCAGGGACATAAATAATCATGTTGAAGTTGGCGGTAGAGGGACAGAATTAAGTGTCCAATTCCAATGTAATGCTTATAGCCGAGTTCTATTTTCATGTACCATTCAAGTGACACACCTCATAGCTTTTGGTTATCACCGAAAGAACACATGAAACAAACCGCAGTTGCTCAAATTGATTGAAAATAAAACAGCAAGGTTTCAAAAGCAGGCAGTGAACACAGAAGTTAGCAAGAAAACATAATACAAATATTCAACGTTGCATAATGTTTAGTTAGCTCCGCCTTGGCCATGTAGAACTGCTCCTTCACCGCTTTCGCTGTAGTTTTACTTTTAGACCATGTGTTGTGTTGTTTGGACAGATGACAAATACACACCGTATTTGTCACCAATTGTTTTTTTTGGATGGCGTCGAGATGACATGGGCGGGGTATATCTTATCTGTGTATTTATGCTCCACTCGCACTGGCAGATATCTGATACCCATGAGATTTTTATTTATATTTGGGAGAGGTCTGAGTCAGATTTGCGATGCCATTGAGCCCATGTTGCGCATTTCTGCAAAGACATTTGTTGCTACGGCCAGCCGGACAGAAATCACAATTGTCATAAATATCTATCCATGGATCATGCCGAGGGTTTGGGGTTGTTTTTGTCCTTAAAATCATCAAAATTAAAGTTTTGTGTCATTACTGCAAAGTGGCACAGGAGTCAGTTGGAAACAGGAACACGGGAACGTAAATGGGTGACTTCAAGCTGCCCCCCCCGCCCCCCCTCTGGCAAGCTGTATGGCGGTTGCACGATATTCAAAGATGTCAAAAAAAGAAAACTTATTTTTTTAGAAGTGCACTTCTATGACAGACCATGTGTCATTGTATTATACACCTGGAAGATAGACTTGACACACACCTCGTCACTGTAGACCTTCACTTGCCAAGAAAATCAGACCAAAATGCTCCAAGCAGAAAAAAAGAGGAGGAGGACAATCAAGTTTAGAGAAGAGGGGTAGTAACAAGCTGTCAATTGAAGGAATTCCCCATCCTCAACTAGCTCCATCACAGTTTTTCATACCTGTTTTATAATAAGACAGTACTCTGTTTGCTTCATTTGAAGCGAGTGTGACACTTGAAGTGGGAGAAAAGAAGACCCCCCCCCCCCCAACCTCATGCACAAAAGAAAAATAATCCACTTCCTGTTCCGTGAAGCCAGGGCAAAGCTTTTGTGGAGGCCATTCGACTTTGCCTGGACATGCACTTATGATTAATCACACTTGTGTGTGCACACGAGCAAACGAATACAGTGTGTTTTGCTTCATTAAAAAAAAATAAAATAAAAATTAAAAAAAAGCTAAAAGAGAGTTTCTCGTGAAGTTCACCTAAGAGTTGAAACAACAGAAGTGAGTCAATTGTGGGTTTCTCCGGCTTTGTCTATGTTGTTGTTAACAAATGAAAATCATGTCATAATTAGCACGTTGTTCTTCATTTAGGCATGCGATAAGAACACTTTTCTTAAATTAATTAACCACTTCTATTTCTAGTTGATGACAAAGTTGCTTGAACTGGTTTGTATCAAAATCAATCCAATTTGATGTATACCTGGAATTGAAACAAGCACACAATGTCACAGACCCAGTGACTTCTAATTTTCTTTTGGACACTGCAATAATGCCTGAAAAGTACCTGCGAATAAATCCTGGCTTTCCCGTTCTGCTTCTGCTGCGCCTGTTTACTGGAAATTGAGTGTATTTCTTAAATGAGCTCATTGAAGGGAAAACAGCAGACGGCAAACAGCTCGAACAAAACAAACTTTTCCGGTCTAACTGAAAACCCAGCCACACATTGGGAATACTGAGTCAAATTAAGTACTGAGATAGTCGACGATAAACTGGTTCATGGGGTGTATCGCACGCGACTTGGCAATGGAAACAATCACAAAGCGTACGTTGTAAAAGGCACGAAAGAATAGCGGCGTTTAGCGCAGATCCACTGAGACACACCGAGTCAGCGGCGCAACTATTCCAGCAATGTGCTGGGTTAATGAACACACCGCCTTTCTTTCTCTAAGGAGGCTTCCTGAGGCTTAGGGGCCGATGGCGGTTACGCAACACATTCAGTGGCGCTACCGCAAAGCAGAACGTGACCCTGTCCTGCGAGGTAGGGCCACCTCGCAGATCTAATCATGATCGGCATCCACGAGGATGAGCCCCAACAAGCACGCAAAAACGTGTTTTGGGAAGGCACACTTGGATGTCGCCACTTGACAGTGGCTGACAATTCATCGCCGCACCATTATTCCACAGCAGGGATGTCCAAACCTTTTCCACTGAGGCGTGCAAAAACATTGCGTTGACCAGCACAATAGAGAGATAGGATGGTTGCATTAAATTATTTTATCCCCCCCCCCCCCCAAAAAAAAAAAAAAAAAAAAGAAATTGAAATTTCAGTTTTGACATATTCTTGTCACTCGACATGCTTTGATCGATCGTTGGCTGATAACTATCAATCGATATTTGCGATTAAGTGTGTGATTGGTGAATCCAATCAAAGCCTCTAAAGGCCGATCAAACACCCTATGTATCATACTGTACTGGTAAGGGAGTAGCATATTTTTCCCTAAGTGCTTCGCTACAATTACTATTATTTGTGTGTATCGTAACAAAATAGGTATAGATATGTTACTGGCTGTTCTTTCCATTGTTTTATCAGCAATGCACAAAGCATCGCGAATGATATCGAGGAATTATAGTTCAAGTCACGGCTTTTGTAAGGGAAAAAAAATTTACAAAGCGACAGATGTTAGCATTTAAACATGACATATTCAGCTGCTGGTAACAGAAAGACACAAATGACAAAGATTAACATCTTTATAACTGTATTAATTAAAATGTATTGGGACATGTTATGCACTCGGAGTGGCTTGATCATCCGCTTGTCCAGTGTTGCTGCTTTCTGTTCATCGGCGTCATAAAAAGAAAAGCAAAAAAAAAAACAAAGAAATCCAAGAGTTCACTAAGTTGCGCGCATCTCAAAACTTCAATGCCCGCAAAGACTTTCAGAAAGGGGAGCGGTTGCTGTCTGGACTTGTTCACATTCACGTTTGACAGCTGCACTAATGTCAATATTCATATTTCTTTATTTACTCACGTATCTACGGTGTAACAGAGGACCACAATATGACGCCATGTCAGATTTCTTCTTCAAGGTCACGTGGGCAGAGGGTTGATCGTATTACAATGCACAATACAATCTAATTACAAGTGCTGCACAGAGGTGACTGCTCATTTGTTTGAACAAAGTTAAGGTAAAGGCACACTTTCATTCAACGTAGAAATGCCACACTCGTGAGCAAGCGCGCATGCATGCACTTTTTTGCTAGTTCGGCACATTTTCACTGGTTCGGTTGGCATGGTTTACAGTAATGGCTTGTGTGCACTGAAAACACACGTATAGCTTTAAATGTTCTATTCGGTACTTGTAATTGTGAATCAAATCAAACAACATTATGTAGCCTCTGCTGCCGCACGCAGAATTGTAGGATCGGGGTTTGCTTCCTGATTATTTTTTTTAATCAATGTAATATATCATGCATAATTTATATTCTCACACACACAGAATTATTGCCTCATCTTTACTTGCCTACTTGGTTTTGACTTTGAAAGGAATTATTTCTAAATAAAATTGACTGCAAAGGAACATTTTGCTTTACCGATCATCTAACCTTGAAATTAAAATAAAAACAAACAAAAAACAACAACAACAAACTTCCCCCATCATTTTGGGTTGTTCTCATTTTCATGCATCCGATTGAAAATTAACATGCCAGAATACCGGTACTGTATAAAATTGAGAAAGCATGCTGGTAAAGTCTGCCTCATAAGTGGGCCAAACAAGTTTAAAAAGGAGCAGTGGGAGAGCCAACCGGGGACGCCAACTGTCCCCGCTACCTTGAAGCAGCACTTAAAAACATCTTATCGCTCTAAATCTGACGCGAAAAACAGATCATATGCAGGATCAGACATGCTCCTCGATTAATCTTGTGAGGGAGTTTGCAATAGTGACTAGTAGGAACGGCAACGTACAGAACTGAGCTTATACTTTACATTTGCTAATACCATATGAAAATAGAAATTCTCTGTTCTAGCATCAAAGCAGTGCCATTATCTTACTTGGTGCAAGTACATACAAGTAGATACCAAAAAAAAAAAAAAAACAATTAATGACATGACTCCAGCTCGCAACTAATTTTAGCTTTCAACTTTGGCTGTAAAGTCTTCCCAAGCACTCTTAAGACTGAGGCCAGTCCTTATTTGAAAATAAGTGTCGCAAAAAAAGAGGCAGAATCCTTGCATGCTGGCTAAACTGAGGTCTCGCACAATATGCTGATGGTTACAGGTCCCAGTTTTTGTCAACATGTGTTGCTACACTACTTTTGTTCAGGTATTGGGTTCTAACAGCACAATGTCAATGCCAGTTTCGTTAGCGCGTCTGTGGCATTTTGCATTGTGTGTTACACTGCAGTCAGGCTGCATGAGTTGATATTGGCAAACCAATCCTGGAAAACGTTTCTTTTGCTACTCAAAAAGTGTCATGAAGTGGGACCTCACATTGTGATTAAAAAGATCTATTTTTTACACATTTCTTTTGCTCATTTACATAATTTTTGATTGCCTTGCTTACGCTACCACCAGCGACCTCCCTCATTTTTTAAGAGCAAAAAATAAATGGTTAACAATACAGTACTGCCCCCTTGCCTTGCCTTGTGTGGTGCACAGAACCTGGTTACACAACATGAGAAAAACCACAGCGCAAACTGCTTCCAACACTCAATTCCATGATGACAGTTTAGCGCTTTGTTCACTTGTTTAGAAAAGGGTCAAGGAGTTGGGACCGACAGTATTTCATAGAATGTGGCTGCTTCTGACATCTGTGACTTGGGTGAATGTATTTTATACATAGGTGGAACTTCCTTACGCCTCACGATGAGATGTGTGGACAGCTATTTTGACATGATTTCACCGACATTAACCATTTGTTCTCATCATTACAGATGTGACATTCAAATAAATAAAAATACAGACTGGAAATTGGATTATTCAGACAAGAATACAATGATTTTTAGACTCGTTTACGATACCATGTCAATTATTTGTGATTGGATGATCGTAGCAGAGGCGGAACTTCTCTCTACATATGTGATATGGCTGAAGTGTATGTCACGATGTAAGTACTGTATTGGTCGCTAGATAAATGGTAAATGGGCTGTCACCTATATAGCGTTTTTCTTTGGTTTGGTACTCAAAGCGCTTTACACTGTTTCCCCATTTACCAACTGATAATGCAGCATCAGGAGCAAGGGGGGTGGGGGGGGGGGGTAATCTTGCTCAAGGACAATTCAACAAGGTTGCAATGGCCGGGGATTGAACCCCCAACCTCTGGGTTGGAAGATGACCACTCTACCACTGAGCCATGCAAACCTAGATCACATTTGTCTACCAAAAATGTTTGCCCGTTTCACCCATGATTTTTTTAAAAATATGCGCAACACCACTTGTTCCGGTCGTAATGCTGTCTCGTTTATAGAGATATCCGGAACAAAATACAAAAAATCCAGAAGAGTTGGCAGCATTTTAGTATGCTCTGTACTACATAATCTTGATATGCACTGAGACGACAGATCATTTATTTGAACCAAGTTAAGGTTAAGCCATAATTTCATTCAGCATATATATGCCGCTCACACACTCATTCATGCACTTCTTCAGTGGTTCAGAACGTCTTCGCTGAGGTGCTTATAATTGTGGCACAAATCTAACAACATAATATAGCCTCTGATGACTGCACGTGGAATAAAAACAGATCATCCACACGGTCGTCTATGCCAAGATACCGAAAATAGCACTTAACGTAGCTCAGTGATTTTTGTCCGCAAATGTTGTGCATAACCTGAATTGATCAGAAAAAGAGACATACGTAACTTGAGGTTCCACTGTAAATCAAACAGATGGGTGAGGCTTCATTGAAAAACTCACTTTTTAACTAATTAATGTGGGCAAAACTTGTTGGCAACGTTTTATTGATTTGAAAAGGAAATGCGTAGGACATTCCAAAATATTAGCTCCCAGCAAATGTACAAATGGTGTGCCAGTGTTGTTTCACGATGATATTTTTCCAGGGATTTTGGTCATTTCCAGGATTCTTATCTGCACACACTCAGTTTCAGAATTCCACAGATCACCACCACAATCAAACTTGCTGAATTGGACAAATTAGTGAAGCTGAACTGCAAAAGTCGTATAACTTGGCAACAAAGTTTGTTGTAAATGAAACACAAACAGGCCACGAAGTGCTAGAAAACACTCTCTGGCCACCAGTGCATCCACTGTTCACAAAATCTGGCACACGTGTGCGTCATGACAGAACACATAACAACTGAGAAAACCTGTACTGTGAAATGCACACTTTTGGTTTTAGTTTGCAGTCTATCTGGCATCTGGGGATTTTGGCCATTTCGATAGGTTGCACCTGAACAAACCCCTGCCGGGAGTTTAGTATACAGTAGGTATTGTTTTACTGCTTAGTGTGCCTTTCTGAATCTATTAACAATCCAAATTGCATGCTCAATGCTTACTTTAGTCTCAGCAAAGACCAACTGAAATGACACATTTACAGGTTCTGTGACATAACCCTGTGATCCAGTCATTCCCATGGGAATGCGGATGAGAACATGGGGACATTCCAGAGGGGAAACGTTTTCTTCTAAGCGAAAATGATTTTTCTAGGACCTTTGAAGTTGCTCAACGTATTGTCAAATCCTCCAACCAACGTAACAGAACGTATATAAAATAACATTATGCACGTTTTGTTGAGTTTGGAGATGTCTACTGATAATTAATAAATGAATAAATAATGAGGAACTGGAGCGGTTTCTACGAATAGACACGGCGGCTCATTAGATTTACCTCCTCCTTTTACATACAGGTCGCTGCAGTGAAAAAAGTGTACAAAGCGAAGGAGGGTGGGTAATATATCTGCTCTAAATACTTAAACACGACCAACTTTATAAATAAAAATTTAAAATAAAATAAATAAAACATAAAAATAAAATAAAGATAAAAGTCAACCACTGGTTAGGAAGCGCAGAGATTAGTTTGTCCAAAAAGGGAAAAGGGTCAATGTTTGGAGCGGGAGCCACCACCCTACATGAGTCACAACTATTGTGTCACGCGAAAGGAATAACATGAAGAAAAGAAAAGCCTCGACCCCGCAACACGAAAAAAAAATCTTAAATACCTTCTCGTCAACAACTAGAGTCTTCGTCCTAGATTTTAACTCCCTGCTGGAGCTTCCTTCCCAGTGACTTCTTCTTCGCCTTCTTTTTCACTGCAGTGCTCGCCAAATGGTACACAGCTAGGAGAACAAGCCCCGCCCACCTATTTGCTTACATGACCCAACTGTTTCCGCCTACGTTTCTGTAATAAATATTACCCCTATCTAAAAAATATGGTCCATTTTTTATTAAAATCAACCAAATGACCCCGAAATGTTTTATTTTACTTTTACATCATTCATAAGCTTGCATAGGAGAATTATCCGAATCTCAAGGATCACGTTACGACATCTACTTTTATTTTGAAGACAAACTATTCCAGTTTTCGGTAAATGTAATGAACTGTGATAAAGCTACTGCTGCATGGCGGTAGGAGTCATTCGCTTGCCTCCCTCACTGGTTGAAGATGACATCATCTGTAAAGTGGGAAAGGACTACCAGTCCAATGCAACAGGAGGTGCTGCTGGTGGTAGGCCGATTTACTGGGCGTGGATCGCTCAAGTTGGAAGTTGGAACCTTGTTCACCGTGAACCAGCAATAATTTAATATTGTTATACAATATGTAATCTTCCTTTCATCAATGACTGATTCATAAATTGTTTTTAAATTAATTGATATGGTGTTCAGAATCACATTTTTTTGAGTATGCTTTTAATTTTAATGTATTTTTAAGCTTTAATTATTGCAGAGAGCAGTCCCCCCCCAAGCTTATTGTGGTATGGCATACATTGAGAACATTTCACTGCACTCAAACACGCCAAAAAAATGTCAATTAATACATAAATGATCATGCCTCAATTTACTCACAAATCTATTTTGTGTGACATCTGGGCCTATTTGGTTAAAGATTAATTAATTATTCTGTTGTATGACTTGCAACAAGTGGATCCACAGCTTAAGTGAACAGAGATACGTTATTTGTCAAATAAATCAGTTTCTAATCAATGAAGGACATTAGCACAAGGAGTGGTAATCAACAAAATATAGAATACAAGTCCCGTAGAAATGCTTGTGAATGCTTAAGACCTCACACTGAACTAGAATCAATTTAAATGGAGGAAATGTATGTGAGACATGGAAAATGTATAAATGCTGATTTAAAATGTGATTCTATACAGTATTGTGATTTAAAGCTGGATGGTATGCTAACATATTCCTTAAAAACAGCAAACTGTGGAGCCAAAACGCTAAGGCAGATGAATATGAATTTTACATCTCACCCTGTATTAAGGAATTATTTCTAATTAGAATGGCTGAAATGCTAACATATAACAAGATAACAACCAGTGTAAGCAAAGTGTCAAGAAAGATCACTTACGTTTTGCTGTGTACTTTATGTACCACAAAGATAGCAAACTGTTGAAACACATTTCTAAAATAAATGATTGACAAATTTACATTTTGCCTTTTCTTCAGGTACAACTACTAATAAAATGCTAATACGCCAACAGTTGCAAAGGTAATATATAACCAAGACAGCAGAGTGAGAAGTGAAAGTACTAAGGCAGATTGATAAGTTTACATCTTGCCCTGTAGCTGAGCACTATTTCACTGAGAATTGATAAAATGCTAACATGCCAACAGTTGCTAGGCAACAATTGCCGTGCAAGAAAGCAACCAGAGTAATAAAGGAATCAAGAAAGTTTGAGGATTTTGTGTGTTACTGTTATTCAGGTGCTATCCCTAATTACAACTGGTCAAACCTAACATGCTAGAAGGTGCTATGCTAACATATATTAACAAATGTGCCCAGATGAAAGAAAATAAATATAATAGTCCAGAGAGGCAAATGGGAAATTGTGATTTATTTCTAAAGAGGAACATGACATCATTCACATTTCAGCCGGCCTTATCTTATATAACACACGTCACCGTCCTAAACAAGCACTTATGGATAAGAAAGATAAAAAATAAAACATTTTCCGTACTCTTTAAAAATATATGGAAAATCTAAATAACGATCATCATGACAAAAACAATAGAAGAGAGGTATACGGTACATTTAAGGTCATATTTCTCACATGGTATGACAATACAAACACTTTAGTCATCGTTTAATAAGGCATATGTGTGAATTTTATCACAGCTTACTATACCTAGACGTTAACGTTATCCTAAAATAACAAAAAAGCAATGATTCTGATCCTTCATGCTTAACATGTACAGTGTCTGCTGTTTTCCACACCAAAGACAACATATGTGCAAACATTCTTCAAGTGCTGTCCTACCTTCATCACCAACAAAGGAGAATACAGACTGATAATGATTACGTGTGTGGCACAGGAAAAAGTCCATTTACTTCAACCCCATGTTTCTTTTTTTTTCATGATGTTTTCATTCCATCCTCGTGCCATGGAGGCATCTCTTTGGTTTCCTCACAATCGTGACGCTACAGAGAGGCTCGTTTATGCAAAAAGGAATCACAATTGTGAGAGGTGTGAAGATGTACAGTCCATGCTGAGTTTTCAAACTAGCTGCCCAGCCTTGAATGTGAAGAGTAAGTACTACGCAGGGGGGTTAAATTTCACCAGCAACCATCGCCAAGGAAGTCGACACCAGTGAAAATGTTTCTGTTATGAGTCAGGAGGTGCAGGGTCCAAAATCTGGAGGTGGATGAAGGTGCTGCTCAGACCCGAGTCTTCTTCGGTAGGGGTTGTGAGATGGGGGTGGTCGCCACTCTCTTTTTGAGCTGGGAGATGTTATGTCTCATGTCTCTGCCTCGTGTCCTGCCAATGGGACAACAAACACAGTGATGTCGTCGCCCGAGCCCAGCCTGTCGTTGGGGAGCCGCCAACCGCGCTCTTTCAGAACTCCTCGGGAGCGCATCAGTAGGTCCTGTGCCGCCAGTGTGTACCTGCAGAAAACACACATATCCCCTCCATAAATAGGTCATTAATTAACTTTGTAAAATCACTGGAATGCCTGGCACATGGGAAAGGAGAGCCACAGCTGCTGATGCACTTTTAAGCTATTTATTGAACGCCGGGGGAACAGTACAGTATAAACATTACCAGAATGACCACACTCAATGAAGAAGCAGCTGTTGGCATCAGCTCTAACACAGACACTCACACACAGACTAACAGTCCCGGTACAAGGCCCCACCTCTTAAAGATACATGGATACATATAAATGACAATACATACTGTATTTTCTATACATTTCTTACATTCAAATATGTTTTTTTAAAAAAAGTATGTTCTACCATTTTTAAACATGTTTGGTATGGCTGGGGTAAAAATAATCAGATTTTTTTTTAAATGGTCTCTAGAGCAAATTTTCACCAACTGCAGATGGGTCTGCAACACAACCCCCCAAAAATACGTGATATAGAAAGACCGGATCATTTTTTCCACATATATCGGTATTCCCCGCCCACCCTTTAAACTTTTGGAAAATTCACATGAACTTATCAATATACACGTTTAAGCACACTGTAAACATATTTCAGCACACCAAGCATACGATTCCATTGCCGATGGCTCGCCAACAGAGAGAGCCCGTTTTCTGTTTTTCTGTCCCCAACTTCATATCAATCCATTGCAGCCATCAGGATAAATTTGCACTGGATAGACCGGGGGTTGGCAACACGCGGCTCCAGAGCCGCATGCGGCTCTTTAGCGACATCTAGTGGCTCCCTGGAGCTTTATAAAAATGTTTGAAAATGGAGAAGATTTTGATAGTAGGCTAATATAGCTCAAATAGATATAGATACATGTTGCAGCTCCGAAAAAGGAGAGCTGTGGTGTTGGTTTTTTTTAATGTACATTTTTATGCTTTTAACAGTCTCGACAAACACAGACACGTCTGCGTCCGACTCCGTGCCTTCTCTCTTCTCGTTCAACTCGAGAGGCGTTCAAAGACAGCCTCCAAAAAATGGAAATTTATGATCACTTCACTGACACTAAGAACAGCGAAAATAATGCACCAAAACAAAAAATCAAGTGAGGAAATCACAAAATAAATTCAATGGGGGAGTTTGTGAACACACAACAATGGAATAAATAACAAACAATTCTGAGACAATCCCGTCTCCTACATACAGGCTACTATGATCAGTGGTGGTCATAGTAGCCTTTCGCTGCATGGTTAGTCAAGAATAGATCTAAGCTCTCGTGAGGTAGGTCGCGATCAGAGCCAATTTTAAAACCTGTTAATGACACTTGCCAGACTGTCGCCTTCATGACAGGCAGATTGCGGTTACCTCATGGGGTCCGAGGGATCGCAACATGCCAGGTAGGCTGAGACTGCGTCAGCCACCTCCTTGTCCGTGGTTACATCCCAAAGTCCATCTGAGCCCATGACTAGGACGTCGTCTGGGCCATGTTTGTTGTCATCAAAGTTGTAGACCTGTACCTGTCAGAAGAGTGTATTCATTCAGGTATTATTCTTGATGTATTTATAAACTTTAACCAGAGAATGATCAAACTTCTGTTTGCTGAAGTTAAGGTACCGGTACTAAAGTTTATCTAAGTGTACTATCATCACAAAGCAAGATGACAGAAAAAAAAGTGTTTGGCTGAGACTCAAAAAGTTGTTGCTGATCATTTTTACAGGATGTTTGAAGGTGAGTGCTCACCTCTGGGACGCACGAGAGGAACGGCTTGATATAAATATTGGAGCTATACACTTTCAGATCGTGATCCCCCAAACCACGAGTCACTCCGATAGTCGCCATGACGCGTGCCTGTTTAACACACACACGCACGCACGTACATTTCGTTAATCAGACACATAATTGGATGTCTCTCACGAGTCACTCCGATAGTCGCCATGACGCGTGCCTGTTTAACACACACACGCATGCACGTACATTTCGTTAATCAGACACATAAATTGAGTATTTTCTCAAGGAAAGCTGGCAAAGACACAATTATTGGATGTCTCGAAGAAATTATACTCAGCGATTATCCTGGGGTGAGGGAGGTGTTCGCTGTGATTTGTTTCCCATATTGATCTGCTACAAAAATGGCCAGGCCAGCACCCTTTAATGTTACACAAAAAAATCTTGCACAAATCTTTTTTTCCCCTGTGGCATGATGCTGCCTATCACAGGACAGTCTTGGTACTACAACAGACATCTGGCTCATGGGGATGACTACCGTATTAAGTGAAGCAATGGTTATGTGCGTGTTGTGCGGTATTGATCCTCTCGAGTACACCACAAACTAGCAAAGCAGTAAGCACATTCTTGCTGATTTTGTCCCTGTTATGTGCAGTTTCTTTTATTTGAAAAACTGAGTACTAATCAGTGCATGATGTTGCAGACTCATATTTATAGAGTGCAGGTGTCAAAATGTGTTTTGATTCGAATTGCCGATGAAGCATCACAGACCTGAAAAGTGCTTTGAATGTTTTGTGTTTTGATTTGAATTGCCGATGAAGCATCACAGACCTGAAAAGTGCTTTGAATGTTTTGCCGGAGCTGCATCTTACCTTTTTACCCTCTCCGTATATAAGCGGAAATTTCAGATCATCTTCAACGATTGTCTTGTAAGCCCTGCAACAAGACAGCGCCAAAATCTCAATTTAACATTCACAATTATTCTGGACAGTGGTACCTCTAAAGTCGACAATACCTGAGGTTGCACAAGTAGCAAAGTTCTGTTTGTGTGAATGCTGAAGAGCACAAAAATATGTTATTGCTATACCACCCAAAAAGAAAAAAAAAGTTTACATTCTACTGCTCCCACATTTCTCAAGCGATTCAAGTCATTCAAGCATAAAAAAATAAATGTCTCTGAACTCTTGGCCTGTCACGATATATTTTGGAATCTCTCCATCGCAAGATCTCTGTGCACCAGAGATCTTGCTTTGGAGCGATACAGACTCGGTACGCAGATCTTGCTGTCAATTCTGGCGTTCTACATGGGTATTTGGTGCCAGTTGCTAGTATCTTTAAGTTCCTGGTCGGGCATAGAGATGTTTGCTGAACCGTGCATAAACAAGCAACGAAATAGGACAAAAGAGCACCAAAGAGGACAGCTGCTTGCCGATGCACATGGCTGCGCCAGCTAGCATGAGCGCTATTTGGCACAATTATTGCTACTGAACTCAGTAGCGCCACATCAATAAATGAGAAAAATAGTTGAACGTGCCAATGAACCAACCGGACAGGAACCTAACTGAAACAGTGAAAGCGAACCGTTTAAACGCTCTTCAAAAAACATTTCACCCTAGTGCGGGGGGTTGGCAACATGCGGCTCCAGAGCCGCATGCGGCTCTTTAGCGACATCTAGTGGCTCCCTGGAGCTTTATAAAAAAATGTTTGAAAATGGAAAAAGAGTTTGATAGCAGGCTAATATAGCTCAAATAGATATAGATACATGTTGCAGCTCCGAAAAAGGAGAGCTGTGGTGTTGGGTTTTCAAAACGTAAACTTTATTTATGCATTTAACAGTCTCGACAAACACAGACACGTCTGCGTCCGGCTCCGTGCCTTTTCTCTTCTCGTTCAACTTGAGAGGTGCTCAAAGACAGCCTCCGAAAAACGGAAATTCATGATCACTTCATTGACACTAAGAAAAGCGAAAATAATGCACCAAAACAAAAAAATCAAGCGAGGAAATCACAAACTAATTCTATGGGGGCGTTTGTGAACACACAAAAAATGAATGAATAACATAAACAATTCTGAGACAGTCCAGTCTCCTACATACATACAGCATGTGTGTCTTTCATTCTAAGTTTTATAGAAGGCTTTTATTTTTTAGCAGCTCCAGACATATTTGTTTTTTGTTTTTTTTGTCCGATATGGCTCTTTCAACATTTTGGGTTGTCGACACCCTGCCCTAGTGTGTACATGTGCTTGTGAGTGTCATCCTGCCGAGAAGAATCAAAGTAACCGACAGCAGGCAATGAAGCAGCACGACTGAATGTTGATCACATATGTAAACAAAAGTGCATGTAAATGACCATTTATCTAGCCCGGAAAAACTATTCTTTTTGTATTTTATTGATCGAGGGATAAATCGACGTAGAAATTATCGTCACAGGCCGACTGAATTGACCGTATGCACGGAGTGTTATGACGTCCACGTTCTTCGCCGTGCAAGTCTGCTTTGCGGGGATAAATTTGCAGTTACAGCAACCACGTCTTTTCTTGGCATTTCCTTTCCACTGATGAGCCATCAACCATACTTTACACTAGAACTCCAGAGCCATCATATTGACGCTTCCCAAGCTTTGAGTGTTGTTATTCTGTTCATATACAGTGCTGTGAAAAAGTATTTGCCCCCTCCTAATTTCAGTTCTTTTTGGCTATCTATTACACACAAAGGTTTCAAATCATCAAACTAATTTTCATGTCACTCAGAGACAGCCAAAGAAAATGCAAAATGCAGTTTTCAAATGTTAATTACATCTATTAAGGTAGGGGTCCCCAATCTTTTTTGCCCCACGGACCAGTTTATGTCAGACAATATTTTCAGGGACCGGCATTTAAGGTGTGGCGGAAATAATACAACAAAATAATATGGTATGAGCTGCATGAAAACTGTGGTGTTTTTGAAATATAATAATAAACACAAGGAGCATCTAATCTGGCCGCAACACTCTGATCGCTATGGTAATGTTTAATGCCTTCAAAATACGACAAAACGCAAATTCAAAGTGCATGAAAATGACGACTCACCACAGCCCCGAGCTTGATTTTCTGCAACCAGATGGTCCCATCTCGGGGTAATAGGAGACAATTACACCTCAAGTGTGTGCTTTATGTCCAGTCTACTTAGTAATTTTGTTTTAGTCGCCGTTGCTGCAGAAAACCCCCGCCTCACACAGGTAGGATGTCGGAAATAGCAACAGTGCTATTGTGGCGATCTCAGAGTATTCAGCCATAACTTTAATGCAGTTGTCTCGAACGTACTTTTAAGGCCGCCGTCATTTGCGATCTCCAACAGTTTTTTTACTCATTTTGCGAGCTCCGGCGTTTTGATTTTAGCGTAATCGGTCACCGTGATGGAGAAGCTTGGCTTGACGTGTGTCAAGCGTGACACAGACGGATGTAACGGAGAATCCGGTAATTTTTCAAAATAAAACATCTTTCGTATTCCGAAATAAATAAAACGGAATTAAGGCAAGTTATTTCTGTGCGGCCCGGTACCAAATGCGGACCGGCGGTTGGGGACCCCTGTATTAAGGCACAAAAAAATCCAAACCTTTGTGACTCTCTGTGAAAAAGTACCGGTAATTGTGCCCCGCACTTGTTAAATCACAAAGTCACTGTGACTAACCACAAATTTGGGTAAGGTGAGTTCAATTTCAAAAGCCACACCCAAACCGGATTACAACCATACTTGTTGAATCAAGAAATCACTTCAATATAATCTGTCACAGAACGTTAAGTAGGCTACAAGACTTCAAGAACCAATGCATCATGCCACGGTCCAAAGAAATTCAAGAACAAATGAGTTTCCACCATAAAATTCCCAAATTTAGAGATATTGTATAAATCTACCTACTCTTTCCACGTTTCTTGACCCTTTTGAACCACTCCAAATTGAAGTCTCACATTCCACATTTCAACAATTCAATTAATTTCAGTCTTTCAGTGTAGTTTTAGCTCTTAAGCATTCTCATGCATTTTCTACAGAAACTGCATTTTATAATCACAGTCTCTGTCTAAAAAAATACATTTAAAACAATCCAATGAAAAACATTAAGTACCGCCGGAAACCAAACGTGCCCTCTTGTGTTGTGCTATTTTTAATCGATCAAGGACGCTAAGTGTAAACACTAGCTATTGTTTTCGAGACTTAAGGACATATTCTCCCATTCACGCTTAAGTCAGTTCCTTACGCACCTTTCTTACGCGCTTTCAAGATGCGGCGATTCTCCCGTCTAGGCTCCTGACACATCCACCATGCGTAACCTGGAAATATGTGCGCAACCACCAAAGAGGCGTGATTTGGTGAAGTCTGAGGGTGGGACCTAATCTCTGGCTTGTGTAGCTTTGATTAGACATAAAAATTCCATTGAGATCCGGTGATTGTGACATTAACTTGCACAATGGATCCGGAAGTTATTGCCAGTGATGTGTACCTTCTGCCAGGCTCATTTACAGGCATTTTTGAAGGAGCGTGTGCTTTTGCATTCACTTTTTAATGAATATCCAATAATAAGGAATTTAATCAGAATACCATGCTGTTAACAGAATGTTTCAGCAACCGTGCAGATAGAGAGCTGACCAGGTTGCTAAACTGCGCACATTGCACACTAAATACCCCCAAAATTCTATAACTTAAAGCACATACTATGGAACCTGCACTGTTTGTGATCGGCAATTCAACTGCAAGTCCCATCTGCACATGGAAATGCTCCTCACAGGTGAAGAAGACAGTCCCCTCGCACCGATCCTTTTTTTTCATCAATTAATATGATATAATGTCAATGTTGGGCCATCATTGTAATGGAGTAACGACACATACACAGCCGTTGGGAAGTCAGTGAGCGTATATGGGACAGGTACCCCTGTCCGCACGTCATTCCGACAGAACGAATCAGCAGAGTCGGCCGGTGACAGTCATAATTCAGAGACTGCAAAATGCCTCATAACGTGCAATATATGATGTTTTGCCTTTGAAAAGTGCGAAACCTTAGTGCAGCCTCCCGAGCACAGAGGCCGAAAGACGCTTTAGTCGACGGGAAAATGCGCGCTCTGAGAGATTTGACAGCATCCCGCCGTGATCACTCCACCCAGAGTGCGTACATTTCATGAAGGTGCGTAAGTGACACACTTAAATCGGTGGGAGAATCTGTGCAGTTGAAAAAGTGCGCAGCAGCGTGCCTTTTCTGACTGAAGCACGTGGGAGAATATGCCCTTGAATGCGCATCCAGAAGTCAACCGACAGAAGTTGGCAGCTGTGAGTGAATGAATGAGTGTGAATTAGTGAGCGCCGTCGGGGATTACCAGCCACTCATGGTGTGGTCCCTGTATAGCATCTTCTTGCCCAGCTCACTTTGCTGGATTCTGCGCGGGAACTCAATGTGAGTGAACTCATTGCCCAGGAGCTCAGGCCTCAGGAAGCCCTGCCAATAAACCAAGAAAACTCATGTCAAACTGTCTTTAGTCCAACGTTCATTCATTTTCGAGACCGCTTGTCCTCATTATGGTCAATAATGAGACGATAGAGAGCTAACTTTAGGCGAGAAGAGGATTACCGTAATTTCTGGACTATAGACCGCACCTGATTATAAGGCGCACCACTACATTTTTAAAGGAAAAAAAAAATTGTACACACATAAGCCGCACCTGTGTATAAGCCGCAGGTGCCCATATTGTAACATGAGATATTTACAAAGAAAGACGGTACACAGGCGGCCGTTAGAAAAGTCTTTATATAAGCCACTTCATGAAATAAGCCGCAAAGTTGAAAGCGTGTGACAAAAGTCGCGGCTTATAGTCTGGAAATTACGGTACTCCCTTGATTGGTCACCAATGACTCACCGGGGTCATATAAACAATGAACGAGAAGTGTCAAAATAAATAGGTTAATCAACAACTAATCAGTTATCAAATTTATCAACATCTATTTTAATCAAGTAATCGTTTAGAGGCATTGTTTCACTAAAACATCGTCAAAAATCCTCATTTCAGCCACTCAACAGTAATTATTCGCTGATTTCTGATGTCCTTCATGAACGCAGACTGATTAATCAAAATAAGACATTTGCAAACATCTGCTTTTACTTTGGAAAACAATGAGCAAACTAGCCACCTAATCAGTTAAAAAAAGGTAAATACGACATCAATCACTTGTGTGATGTAAAAAAATGAAATGAACAACAATATTTGGTTAACAAACAGTAATGGGGGAAATGGTTTTGTAGTACAAAAGAAAATGTTACCCGAATATTTGATTAATCAATGGAATAATTGATTTAAAAAGTATGATATCATGACAGCCTTACAGTGAACCATTCATGCCTAGCGACAATTGAGTGTGATTAAACCAAATACGCAAGAACAATTCAAATTCTACAGAAGAATCGTCGGGAATCCAACCCAGAACCTCGGAACTGTGAGGCAGAAATGTGAATAACCTTGACCAATGACCTTTGAGTCAGAAACAGCAATTGTGTTCCTGCCGTTTTGAATCCGCAAAGTGTTCCAAAAAAAAAAATCTCACTCCTTGATGACTAACCATTTGATATGGACCATTTTCATGGTATTATGTTGATTAATGTTGATTATCATGATTCTTATGATAATGGTGAATAAGTGGTTAGCATATGTGCTTCACATTTCTGAGGTTCAGGATTAAAATCTTGATTATCGCCTTCCTTTGTAGACCTTTGCGTTTTCTCTCTGTACTGCGGCTTTCTCCCACATTCCAAAAACATCGACGTTTATTTATCATCATCATTCAACATTTTATATTGTTCAATTTCATTGAGATTATTGGCAAATAAAAACTTACTTTTACCTTATTAATTAGTAAATCTAAGTGACTCAAGTATTAGATATATCTGATTTATTTTCCCAGATATAATAAATTTGAATCAGTTTTCCAGGTAAGGTGGATTTCGATTCATTCAGTATGTATGTATTATTGGAGCTACCTAATTATATCAATGCTTATTCATCAAAGGTGAAGTAATTAAAATCTACTATATTATATTATTTGTCACTTTGTTGTTTACATTTTTTACGTAAATTGTAAATTTTTATGCAATTGTCAAACTTTTGAGAGTAGTGCAGCTCACCCCACTTGGACAAGTACAAAATAGATGGATGGGGTTTCCTTTCTATATGCTCATTACAAATATAAAGGCAGAGATTTCATATTGGGGGGACTTTTTTTTTTTTTAACACGCCAGATGGTCCCCCCCCCCAAAAAAAAAGGGAAACATTTAAGTGGTTTCAATAGTGCATCATGACAACACGAAAAGTACCAGATATTGTAGCCGTTGTCTCTCTGACTCTGGTGTAAACTCGTTGGTCATGGGAACAATTTCCTTATTCCGGATTATTATAGCCCTGCAGTGACAAGAAGTGCAACAGTAAGATTGTGTGTGTGTGTGTGTGTGTGTGTGTGTGTGTGTGTGTGTGTGTGTGTGTGTGTGTGTTTTCCTGAAGCAACACATTTAGTCCTCTGAAGGCTGCAGTAAGTAAGTATAACACTAGGGGGCAGATGAGGTACCCATAAAAGAACAGTACAGCATAAGATAAGATAAGATAAGAAAACCTTTATTAGTCTCGCAATGGAGAAATTCCCAATTCACAGCAGCAAAGTTATGAAAGGAAGTAGAAGAACAACAAAATATAGGAGCTGCTGGAAAGGCAGCCACTCTCGCGGCGCCATTTTGAAGTCAAGTTGACATAAACGTGTTTGTGATGCTGTATGGATATAATAAAGCATTATTCAGAAATGCACAGCAGTGGGAAAGCCCTGAAGGTGCCTGGTGCAAACATGCATTACTTTCAGCTGGTATTTAACCTACAACAATATGGTTCAAAGTCCCAACAGACTGCGGCTTCAAAGCTTTAAATTTAATCCAAAAACGACTGCAATGCTAGGGACTGAAACCAAGACCTCACCCATGCAAAGCACACGCTCTATCACTGAGCTACATTCTGTGCAAGTTAACCACGGCTGTGCCTTTTGGACATCAAAAATGTTAAAAGGTCTAATGAGAATATTTTTGGGTGAATATTGGATTGGAAAATGCCAATAAATAAAATCAAATGATATGATGTGCTTCCCCCCCTCGCCCCACACAAGTTGGGGAGAAATATGGTGTGCGCGTGTGTGCGTGAAAGACTGACGATACACAAATCAGAAGAAGTGTATAATATTTGCAAAAATTACAAAGGTAAAAAGTTGACATTTTCTCCTGTTTAGTCCCATAAATCACTGCTACATCAATATAACTATAACAAACCAGTAACTTTATAAATTAATTCATCAATTCTATCAATCAATCATTAAAACGGAAATAACAAAGCTGCACTTTTTTTTTTTTAATAGGAGGGGTCTAACAAATGATAGTCACGACACAATAGAGCTCACCTGCTATCTCCAGCATTGGCCACATAAAGTTTTCCCATGAGATGAATGGCAGCTAAGGCACAACAGCCGCCAGATATAGCATATGACGCTTTCTCCTTTTCGATCAGGTCATCCTGAAAAAAGCCACATGTGCAAAAGGAAACACATAATAATCATGGCAAAACCACAAAATGACCATCAAACTTATACGGTACTTGAGATGGCATCGGCAAAAACAAAACCAAACAAAAAAAAACATCTTCACCATACAGCATCGGCCATCTGTTTCGGTCTTAGATGCTTTAAATTGGTGCAATTTTGGGCAATTTTCTCTCAAAGTACAAGTACTAGAAGTGGCGGTTTCATAACTAAATGGCCGACATTGTGTTCAATTCGGGGTATCGGTCCTTCAGACTTTTGAGGAGAGCACCACTGAGCGAGTTTTTGGGCAGTGTATTATACAACCCCCCTACATTTTCACCAGCATAAACGCAACTGCTAAAATAAGTGGTGAGCTTTCAGGCCAAGCGCGGCCTCGTTGCCTAAACACAATCAGAGGGCATTGGTTTTCATGTATGTTGAGGTACCTAAAATAGTGTTTCATTGATCGAAAGAAGTATGAGAAACAGTTATTCCAAGAGAGCCATCGCACCAATCCGCCTAATTACACTTGAATGGGTCTATGATTGTCTCCATATTGACAAATTTGTTATCTCACGTCTACTCACCATCTGCTTGAATGCAGTCTCAATCACGCCCATCACGAGGCTCTCCAGGCTGACGACCTTCTCCATGTGGTAGCGCACCGCTGAATCGCTGACAGCGTCAGGTTCCTCCGACTCCTGCGCTGCCCCCTTCTTGATATCAGCCTGGTAGGGGCTGCCGTTCTTGGCCAAGCAGATGGGAGGTGGCGCCCCCTCATGGTTATTCAGCAAGTGAAAGATCTCGCCCAGACGGTCCCTAATGAGGCGGTGCAGCAGCTTGGAGGCCATGATGGCGGCACCAGAACCGGCATGTCCGTCAAAGACGCCCCAGAAGTAAAGGGGGATCCCAGTGCCATCCTGAAACAAGAGTGAAAATACATGATTAATTTTAAAGGTTATTAAGATGCTTGAGATCATATGTCAGACCACTAGGTACACCGTCATCATCGACTATCTGCCCAGCAATGACAGTTGACTAAATTTTGTATCGCTATCATTTCTCCTTGTCAGACCAAGAATATAACCAATTTTTATCAAATCTCCAACATAAGACATTTGGCAAAGTGCAAAAAAAGGTCAGACTGGTGGGTTGTTTTTTTTTAAACGAACACTCTTTCAAGAGTTCCCGAAATGGCTCATCTGTGTCAGTTTTATAAGACATTCAATCGAAGAGGTGTGAGGTAGCTGAGCTATAAATGCCACACTGACAAGTGTTTGTTTATTGTTAACTTTCTGCAAGTGACAGCAGTCCACCAGTATTTTAAGACTCAACTGATCTCTTTTGGGATCATAGTTTGTGGTGTATTTATTGTACAGTTTAAACTACTAGCATAGGCAATTTTTTTAGAGTGGGGTTCGTTGTCCCCTGTGAATCACGGAGGTTTACTATTTTTAGAATTTTGTTGTCGCTGTTTCTGACACGTTTGGATTAGGAGTCAAACTGACCGAGGAACATTATTGCTGTTCGCAATAAATGTAACAGGATGGTTAATGCTTTTGACTAAAACATATCGTTAAGAGCAGCCAAGAGAGGGCCATTTGTACTACTTTCTTATGTCGCAGAATATTTCTAGTTATGTGATTATCGCATTTTACTGGCATTTGGAGCATTTAACCCAGCCGCTGGGGGGCAGTGCCCTCCCCTGGGGGTGCACTGTTCCCCAGTGCCGGTCCCAAGCCCGGAGAAATGGGGAGGGTTGCGTCAGGAATGGCATCCGGCGTAAAACTTTTGCCAAGACGACCATGCGAGTTGGTAGGACGGTTTACAGGGGCGGATGGAAATTACTGACTCGCTGTGGCGACCCCTGAATAGGGACGTGCCGAAAGGAGAAGAAGAAGAAGACTGGCATTTGGAGCATTTGGAGTGATGGGATGACTGTGGATTTTTGGCTCCATTGTCACCCCTCAGTGACTTTGCCATCAGGACAAGACAGTGAACACTATAAATGATGAGTGAGCATTGCTTGCCAGACTTTTTAGCTCACATCCATTCACTCGGCGTCCGATTGGATGTCAACACTGCAGTTTTGCCCTTGGCTCACCTCGTTGTCATCCAGCAGAGTGGAGTTACGCTGTTTGCTGTTGGGCTTCCTCACAAACAGCTTCTCGCAGGAGGCCTGGTCCTCATTCAGCATGCTTTTGCCGGCGTTGATCACCCTGGTGTGCAAGAGCCATAAGTTAGTGGCATGAAACAGAATAATAAAACTGTTTGTTTATTTGCCCAGCGAGTCGTGGAAAAAATGGGACGGGATCCAAATACAGGGAACAGGGAACTTGCAAAAGGGATTAATTATGAGCCTGTGCCGAGGAGCCTGTGCAGAGGAAAATGGCATTAATGTGAAGCGCTGTAGCATTGATTGTCCATTGCGCAAATTTATGTTACAATGCAGAATCTGATTATTGTACATACTGATTTTATTATACAGGAAGCACTCAGTGACAGCACAAAAATCATTAAAGGAGGGCATTCATTCAGAGTTTAATTTTTTTCCATGACTATGTTTGTAATCCAAATCATCTTTCTGATTGAAAGTGAATGAAACTCTAATTAATCTATTCCAGCCACCACAATAAGACCCAAATTAGGTTGTTATGTTTTTCCTCGGCAACACGGTGGTTGACTGATTAGCATATCCACCTCACAGTACAGAGGTGCAGGGTTTGACTCCGGCTCTGGCCTTCCTGTGTGGAGTTTGCATGTTCTCCCGGTGCCTACGAGGGTTTTCTCCGGGTACTCCGGTTTCCTCCGACATTCCAATGCATGGCAGGTTAATGGAACACTCTAAATTGTTCCTAGGTGTGAGAGTGAGCGTGGATGGTGGTCTAGGTGTACCTCATCTACTGCCCGAAGACTGCTGGGATAGGCTCCAGCACGCCCGCAACCCTTGTGAGGATAAGCGAATTAGAAAATAGGTGGATGAATGTTTTTCCTGAAGAAAAAAAATTGCACTTGGGAATGAGTTGGTGCGAAAAGAGCGATAATAAGCGTTTATATTATATATAACTATGTGTGTATGTGTGTGTGTACATACACACACCCACACACACACCCGCACACATTTCTAGACAGTACCAATAATGTATTAAATCTCATTGTTTAGATTTTATTGGTTTATGTTCTGTTGTACCTTGAAATCTAGTCACTGTCATTTACATTTGACATCACATTTGCACTTCAAGCCCATTGCACAATTCTGCTAATTTATGTATTGGCGTCACAAAGGGAGAGGATTAGGAATATTCCCTTGTGATCTGAACACAAGACAAGCAGGATAGGAGAGCTCAGGAATAGCCAATAAACATGCAAACAAAAGGAAACTCAAACACAACCTATGACCACTCGCTTTCCAAATAGTTTTGCTGATTCCAATCGCCACAGAAAAGCCTAATATGGGAAAGGCCCAAATGGACAAATCCAACAAATCTGGATTATATTTCTCCCCTCCAAAAGGGGGGAGAAGCTTTCTCCCCACTATCTAATCAGTTGAAAGCAGAGGACTGGCACGGCAGGGATGGTGCACATTAGGACTAATGGTGAGGGAGACTTAAAGGTCTCATGACAGTCATTTAAACTATGCTGTTGAGGCCAATGCATGCTGGGCTCTTTGGCATACGACCAGCACAGAGAGACACTCTTCTATATTCTGAACCCGCAGCCCTGCCCTCCAATTGCTTGTGCTTTATTCTGACCCAGCCAACAATGTTTGGTTTTTCTATATCGTATTTGCGCAAATAATGTCCAAGGGGTGTTTGTTTTGTCAAGTGTTAATGAGGGAGACATTTGGAATAATGATGATAAACACATTACGGGTATTACGAAAAGTAGGGTTTTTCGGTATGCTTCTGGAATATTATTACGGTTCTCCAAGAAACAAATATAACGAGGGTTAAAGAGCAAACATTATGTTTCAAGATATGTCTATATCTAATGCACTCGCGGGCAGTGTGGTGTGACAGTGATTAGCATGTCTGGCTCACAGTTTTAAGGTTCTCAGCTCAAATCCCAGCCTTGTGGAGTGCGCAAGTTCTCCCCGTGCTTGCACATGTTTTTTTTCCCCAGATACTCCGGCTTCCTCACACATTCCAAAAAAACATGGATGGAACAATAATTTAGGACTCTAAATTTACCACCGGTGTGAATCTGACTGTAAACGCATCTGTGATGGTACGGGGCCGTGTTTGTTAGCGCCAATGGCATGGTTAACTGACACATCTGTAAAGGTACCATTAATGTTGAAATGTATATGCAGACTTTTTCATGGGCGCCCCTTCTTATTTCAGCAAGACAATGCCATATCAGAGTCTTCATCTGTTACAACAGCGTGGTTTTGTAGTAAAATAATGTGAGTTCTCAACTGGCCTGCCTGCAGTCCAGACCTGTCTCCCATTGAAAATGTGTTGTGCATTGTGAAGCAAAAAATAACAACGGTGACCCTGGACTGTTCAACAGCTGAAGATGCACATCAAGCAAGTAAGGGAAGGAATTCCACCTACAAGTACAAAAATGAGTGTCCTCAGTTCCCAAACATCTATTGAATGTTGTTGATAGAAACGATGATGTAACACAGTGGTAAACATGACCCATAAGTCATTGGAATTGGGTTTGTACTTTGTCTATTTACAAAAAAAACAAAAACATTTTTGTGGACATGAGACCGATAGGAAGCACAAATTGTAGGATACACTGAGATAAAATATGTAATAACAATAAAAAGTACACAATACACAACCCCCGGCACCACGATAACTCCCAACATCCCTCGTGGTCGAATTGGGAGCAGACTGCTCTCTCATGTTCGATTGCAATCGACATGTTGGACATCCATCAATCAGATCAATGATGTAATAGTCTCAACACTATTAATTATATAACTGTTGTCATTTCAATTACATTTTACTTTGTCTCGCATACATGAAAATTCACATTAGTTGTTGCTGTTCACAACTTTAATGTCAAACAGGACATAGTGATTATTTTAAATTGATATATTTAAATTTACTTTTTGCACGCGAATGTTTGCACAAATTACTGTATGTTTTATTTAAAATGCGAGGCCGCGTGCAGATAAGGAAGTGACTGGGGAATGTCTTATGTGTCTTGCACATATATATATATATATATATATATAAACTAAAACTAAACTAAACTAAAACTATTATTTTTGTTTCCATTTCATCTCTACAGTTTTGCTTCAAAAGCTTCAAGGACATTCAACTAACCATCAAGTGATAAAACACATTTTGACCATCTCTGATTTTAAAATAATTTCTCTCACTCACAAATGCCGGTTTGCAGTCGTAGCACAAGTGGAGGCTTTGAAGCGCAGCCAACGCTTGTGAGTCATGCTTGTCACATGAGCTCAGTGAGCTTTTCATTGAACCTCATGTCAGCGGAGTGGGAGTATGCGAGACCAAACATCAAATCAATGACCGCATCATGTGACCAAAAGCCATGACTGAGTGACTGTTAAGATTTGGATTCTGTGTGGTGGAATGAGCAAAGAGTTCAACAGAAGGGCCCTGAGGTGTTCAAAAAAAAAAAAAAAAAAAAAAAACATGCCAGCCAAACGTTACATACAATTTATAGTTGTTGCAATATAAATTGTGTCAACTTTCTGCATTGTGCCATTCAGTAGGTTTCCATGCCAAAGCAGTATAAAAGTTGCAAATCAACTTTCGATAGCTGCCGTCATGTGGTACAGTGAAAATCCCACCTATTCATAGTTCTCTATTCAAAAGTGTACATATGTTTTTCTTTTCTGTGGAACCTATTTTCAGCCTATTCTGGAAAAACAACTTGTCAATGTACCGGTAGGTATTGTTGTGCTCTTTCTGTAATGCCCTAAAAAGGCCACAATCTGACACCAAAGCCCTGGCTAATAGGACAACTGCGTCAATAAAGTACCGGGATTGTTGAAATAATTAACAAGCTTTGTATGTCAGGGAGGAGATAAGTTTAGCATGGGTTGTTAATGGAAGTTCAGGAGAGTCTTCATATTGTGGAAGGAAAGAAAAAAATGTGGGTTGTAATGTCACATATGGGAGACCTTAAACATACATTTGTCCCATGCAGGATATAATCGTTTGCCAGAAACTGGTGAGTTTTGAATATGCTGAGGTCCATAAAATGGCACACAACAATTCCAGGAGGGCCTCCACACCAATTGGTGGTTGGGCCCTCAAAATAATGCTACAGTTTTTGAACTACTCATTGAACAACATTTGAATAAATATTGCATTTGCTCACACTGAAATCCATGTAATGCGCTATTTTGGAAACACCTCGTATTCTGGCATACACTGTTGAACTCTCTTTTGCTCTTGTATTGGCTTTTCCGAATGTTTCCGAAAGTCCCGAATGTTGTATCCATTGGGTGAATATTATCCAAGCCAATTGCAAGACCGTGCATCCTGTATTATCGCTTTTGTTTTAATGCAAAGTACTTAACAGGCAATTAGCTTGTGGCCTGTGAGTGTCCTGCATGTAATTATTATATCCAAATTAATTAATAACGATGGGGAGGGAAAAAAAACTGCCATTGAGTCTATTTTTTTTTACCTTTCTGTCTGTGTTTCTTGGACTGTTGCAGAATCTCAAAGCCCGAAAATGTGCCTCTTGTAGATGACCATGCAGCAATTACACAAAATCATTTTAGACTAAGTGCACTCTCGAGGTTGTATTGACGTTCAACGTGTCAGCGCATCAGTTAGCATCGATTAAAACCAGTTCCATGCCAAAACTCAAAATTCAACGTGCACACACAGGGACCAACTCAACTGTCACATCCATTCAACTAAGTTCAATCCAGAAACTTCTCTCGTCCCCAGTGGCACTCCTTTGAGAATCTCTGCATGAACACATGCGTTGTTACCTCCCACACCCACCCCCCGCCCCCCAACAAAACATACTGCCTTGTACTCAGTAATACTGACACAGAGGGAGTGGAATGTGTGGAAATGTTATCGCACAGCAGGGAATGTTTCACCACACAGCGCATTTGAGACAAATGTGGATATTCCAGTAAGTGTGGTGCAGGTGTAGCAATAGTCTAAAACACCTGCTGTAAGCTGAAAGACAAAAAAACAAAAACAATCGCCCATAACATGAATGCATGCTGATAGAACTCTAAATAAAACTTACTGCCGATGCCTACAAACAAGAGCGTTATAGCTCAGCAAAAGCTGAGGATGGAACCATGCAGTAGTAGCTGTGGGTTACAAGCAATGCAGCAGGAGCTGAGAGATAGAACGAACAAATGAGGGCTGTCATTATCAAATCTTTTTCGGATAAAATTAGATTTTGCTTTGAAGTGGATTATAAAACATTTTTCCCCCCATTGCTGTTGATGAACCAGTTATTGTTAATTACTTGGTAGTGTTTAATGATGAATTAAAAACAACTAAAAGAGTAAATAGTATCACGTGGGAGGGATTGATGTACTTACCAAGCTTTTTGAAACTGATTCATTTACTGGTTCTGTCATTGTTTGCCAAAGTAAAAGCAGATGTTTGCAAATGTCTTATTCTGATTAAAAACAAAAGACAAGCAGTTTGCTTTCATGAAGGACTACCGAAATCAGAGAATAATTACTGTTGACGGGCAGCTGAAATTTGAGGATTTAGACAATTTTAAATTGAACGTCTCTCGAGTACTAAAATCTTTGTTCATGAATTTGCTTAACGATTCATTGTGGATTCATCAATTCATTTTGACATCTCTTGAAGATATGTATAAGAACCAAGGAAGTGTCAACACATATAAGCTACTTTTCCACTCCAAAACAGCCAGGTAACGCCCTGTTTAGTCGCTTTTCATTACATTTTTTCGGGGAGGGCAGTTACAATGGAAGTGCTTTTCAGAACCTCCTCCTGAGTGCTTCAAAAACACGCCTTTGGAAGTGCTTTTCAGAACCTCCTCCTGAGTGCTTCTAAAACACGCGGTCAGTTGATTGGCCAACAGACTTAGGCGTTCCTTGAGCGATGCAAGAAGGAATTCACTGCACACGCCAATTTCCTGCTTTTAAGCAAGAGAGACTGAGCCAGCTGTCGCCAAGTCATAAAAAGAACCTGAGGGTGGGACCAATCCATTTAAACACACTAGCAGCACCTATGGGTAAGGGTCAAGGGTCAGAACATGTGCAGGGGAACCTGATGGAAGGCAGGTTGAAGACGGTAGAAACTCCATAGCAGAAACTGAAGCCTATTACCGATGGTGAAAACGCGACATAGCTACATCTTGGATACACTTTGATACAACCTTATGAAATCACAAATTTGCCCACATTACCTTTAATTATATGGCATCAATAATGATGTGAAGAGTCAAGCCACTGATCACATTCATGGTTTCTCACAACAGACACTAATTTAACAAGAATATGAAACACTATGTTTCTATACATCCATGCAAGTGTTCAGTTGTCTAAATGATCACTTCTAAAGAACAGGCCCATGAGCTACTCGTGTGGTTACTAAGGGGACCATGTTGGTGAACCCTGGATTTTGAACTAAAGGTGGAACCTTTGAGGTAAACAATACGAGGGTACAACATATACAACTGCAACTAATGGGTATAGAAACTAAGCAAAAGCAGTTATGGGGCCTAATCAAAATTAAACAGCAACAGCTACGGAGTAGAGCCTATGCAACAGAAAAAGAAGTTAGAGGTTAGAGCTTTCGTGGTAGAACTGGATGTTAGAACCTACACAGCAAGCTAACTTGTATAGCAGAGGTGGAAGGAGAGAAACAACACAACTGAGGTTTATAGGATAAATCTTTGGAGCAGAGGAGATTGGTAGAACGTTTGAAACAGAACCAGAGTAGATCCTACAGAACAGAACCTGATGGAAGAATCTGCACAGCAGAACTGGAGGATAGAACCGGGATAGCAGAACCTGAGAACAGAACCCAGCATCTAAACCTGATGGTAGAACCCCCACAGCAGAAACTGAGGGGTATCAACATTCACAACAGAAAATAATGAGTGGGCGCCACAAGAGGAGATGAAGAGGAAAACCTCGGCAGCAGAACCACAGTGAGCCAGCGCAGCGGCATTTGATTTTAGTGCCTGCTGCGAATACGGCAGTACACTGTGAGCTGGTGAACATCCTGCACGAGCACTTGTCACTTGCAAACGTCAAATACGTTCGGTCATGACACGCTCCACAATAACAAAAATAGCACGAAGAACCCCCCAAATGAACGCCAGTCAGGCACTCACTCGGCGTATCCGGTGTGCCATGGGAGCTTCCTGCCTCGCTTGAGCGTGAGCACCGGCCGCGAGACGTGCTCGGTAGAGTACTGCAGCAGCTCCGGAGTGAGCTCCAGGAAATCCGGGCGGCCGTAGGGGAACCGCGGCGGCAGGCCGTCAGCTCCCCCGGACTGCGCGCCGCCGCCTGCGCCGCCGTGATGGTTGTGATGGTGGTGGTGGTGGTGGCCGTGGGGCATCATCCCTCCCACCAGCGTGGACATGGCGCTTTTCACTTTGCTTATCATCGTCAGCACGGACTCGCACAACAAAAACAAAAGAACAAAATAAAAAGGAGAGAAATCAAAGGATTCGCGCTAAGGAGGCGAACGAAAGACGCAGCTAGTGACGAGGAGCATTTCAGGAAGCGATCTCGCTTTTTTTTCTTGCTTCCTCTGAGCACCCATGTGACGACCAGCGGTGTTTGTCTCAGTCAAAGCCAAAAAAAAAAAAAAAAAAAAAACCCACTGGCTGCCAGTAATCCTGCAGCAGCATGCACAAAGCTTCCTACAAGCATCCTAAAGCTTTTGAACGCACCACGCACATCCACCACCTTCATCACATATATACAAATTTAAATATAAGTACTGGATGAATTCAGAGGATTTTGTCCGTAAATCGGAACGCGTAGTCTCCAGTCACGAGCCTACAACAGCAGTTACGTCATTATTTCTCATCGCATTACAGTAAATGTGAAAAACACTTCTTGACCCATTTGAAACAATCAAAGTAGCTCTGCTGCAAGTGTCCGGTGTTATTGTTCTACCCACTGGTTTTGCTGCACATTTTCTACCTTCATGCTCTGCTTCTTGGGTTCTGTGGTTTATTTTATATAGGTTCTGCCCTTCCCCATCTACGGTACAGGTTTCAGCCTCAGGTTCTGCTGTGTAGTTTCTACCATCATCTTCTGATGCATATATTCAATCTAGCCTCAGTCAGGGCCATAAATATTGGCACATGGACACATGTCCTATCCTTTTGGCTCTAAACATCACAACAATGGTTTTTGTAATGAAACTAACAAGGTGTGCTGCAGATTTTCACTCGGCTTTATTTGAGTGTATTTACATCAAAATCAGTTGAACGGTGTAGCAATCACAAGTTTGTACACGTTTCCCACTTTTTAATTCATGTTCAAAATCTGCAATAAAAGCACATCTTGTTTGTTTCATTTTAAATCCATTGTGGTGGAGTTTACAGCCAAAAAGAATTGTTGATGTCTCAATATTTATGGACTTAACTTCAGGATCAAGCTTGCAACGGTCCAATGTCTGGACTGTCAAGCACCTCCTCTTGTGTACTGGCACTTGCCAGAAGAAAAGATACACCAGTTCAGTCTAATGAGAGGCACAATCATCGATTTTACAAGGGTAATTCCACTGAAGTTGGTACATTGTTTTAAACATAAATAAAAAGAGAATACAATGATTTGCAAATCATGTTCAACCTAGGGCGGCCCGGTAGGCCAGTGGTTAGCACGTCGACTTCGCAGTGCAGAGGTACCGGGTTCAATTCCAGCTCCGGCCTCCCTGTGTGGAGTTTGCATGTTCTCCCCGGGCCTGCGTGGGTTTTCTCCGGGTCCTCCGGTTTCCTCCCACATTCCAAAAGCATGCATGGTAGGCTGATTGAACACTCTGAATTTTCCCTAGGTGTGAATGTGAGCGTGGATGGTTGTTCGTCTCTGTGTGCCCTGCGATTGGCTGGCAACCGATTCATTGTGTACCCCGCCCGCTGCCCGAAGACAGCTGGGATAGGCTCCAGCACCCCCCGCGACCCTAGTGAGGATCAGGCGGTTCGGAAAATGAATGAATGAATGAATGAATGTTCAACCTATATTTAATTGATTACACAACAAAAATAAGATATTTAATGTTTAAATTGACTTGATTTCGCTCATAAGCATTAACTGAGAATTTTATGGCTGCAACACATTCCAAAAAAGCTGGGACATGGTCATGTTTACCACTGTGTTACATCATCTTTTTTTTCAACAACATTCCATCAAAGTTTGGGAACTGAGGACTTGAACTGTTGAAGCTTTGTACATCTAGGTGGAATTCTTTCACAACGTATTTTCACTGGGAGACAGGTCTGGACTGCACGCAGGCCAAACTGTTGTAACACGTGCGAATGTGATTTGGCATTGTCTTGTTGAAATAAGCAGGGGCGTCCATGAAAAAGACGTTGCTTGGATGGCAACACATGTTTTTCCATACCCTGTATGTACCTTTCAGTATTAATGGTGCCTTCACAGAAGTGTAATTTACCCATGCCATTGGCACGAACGCAGCCGCATACCATCACAGATGCCTGCTTTTGGACTTTGCGTACAGTCTGGATGGTTCTTTTCCTCTTTGGCCCAGAGGACACGGCATCCACAATTTCCAAAATCAATTTGTGGACTCACCAGACCACAGAACACTTTTCCACTTTGCATCTGTGCATCTTAGATGAGCTCAGACGCAGAGAAAACAGCGGCGTTCCTAGCTGTTGTTGATAAATGGCATTTTCTTTGTATGGTAGAGTTTTAAGTTGCACCTACGGATGTAGTGCTGACTGCATTTACTAACGTTGGTTTTCCTGAGCCCACGTGTTGATATCCTTTACGAATTGATATTGTTTTTTGATGCAGTGCCATCTGAAGGACTGATGGTGATGGACATTCAATGTTGATTTTCGGACTTGCCCCTTACATGAAGTGATTTCTTCAGATTCTCTGAACCTTTTGAGGATATTATGGACAGTAGGTGATGAAATCCCTACATTCCTTGCAATTCTACATTGAGGAACATTGTCCTTAAACTGTTTGCGTATTTTCTCGCACGAATTTTCACAAAGTGGTGAACCTCGCCCCATGTTTGCTTCTGAATGACTGAACAATTCAACAAAACTCCTCTTTTATACCCAGTTTTGACACCCACATGTTTCCCAGTTAGCCTGTTCACCCGTGGGATGTTTCAAACAGGTGTTCATTCATCATTCCTCAATTTTTCTTTTTGTCACATGTCCCAGCTTTTTTGGAACGTTTTGCAGTCATAAAATTCTTAGTTCATGATTATTTGCTACAAACAATAACATTTGTCAATTTGAACATTAAATATCTTGTCTTTGTAGGGTATTCAATTAAATATATGTTGAACATGATTTGTAAATCTTTATATTCAGTTTTCATTTATGATAAACACAACATACCAACCTTACTGGAATTGACTTTGTAAAATTGATTAGTTTGCCTGTCATTTGATTGAACTGGTGTCCCAATTTGTTCTGGCAAGACTGTTCACTAGAGGAGATGCTTGACTGTCCAGAGGTACGACCTTTGCAGGCGAGATCCTCAAGTCAGGTCCATAAATATTGAGACATTGACAATTTTGTTTGGCTCTAAGCTCCACCACAATGCATTTAAAATGAAAAAAGTCCCAACTTCATTGGAATTGGGTTTGTAGATTTTACTATCAGATAGTTATTTATCTAAAATATGGTTTGATTTTTTGCTAAATCTACTGACAGCTATTTTTAATATTTTGGTTACCCATATATAGTTATACATTATATAATGAAACTGTGTTGTTCATTCGAGTCTTCTTAGCAACTGATTCAATGTTAAAGTAACATATCTGGAAATCACCTAGCTGGCCTTTATCTGAGGCCACTGTCCACCTCTCATCTTATCTATTACTGTACTTTGATATCAGCACATGTGCACGTTAATTATGCAACTATTTGACTGTAATGCAAGGGACTGTTGTTATTGTGACTCCATCTGTCATCGGCCACATTAGGTCCATTCACACACGCTAATTTGATTTTGATTAAAATAAATACTTTCACTTATTTTTTTTTTTATTTTGTTCGATCGAAATACATTTTAATTGAGCTATTTTATGTTTTTGTTTAGTTAGCAGTAATAGTATGTGTATTTTCGCAACCCAGAATTGTTCAGCTGGGAGGTGGGGGGCGGGGCTGCTACAGTGAAGGGGACGACAGTCCAAGATTGAGCTTGCACTTTTGGAGTTTGTCCTCTAGATGGCGGCCAAATACTGCAAGATGAAGCGGGGTGCGTTGACGCTGCTTCCAAATGAAGCGCTCGCTGATTTGATACAATGTACGCATTACTTATAATGATAGCTGCCGCGGTTAAAAGACTTGACTGATTGTAATAAATATTGTAGTGTTGTGCCAGCAAATAGCAACACGGTGCTGTCGTGGTTAACATGGATGCCACACAGTCAACACATTCCGCGTTCCACTTCCGTCCGAGGCCCTCTTGTGTGGGGTTTGCATCTTCTCTTCTCCTTGTAGTCATCTTCTGCTTCATCGTCTTCTTCGTTGTCCTTTTGTCCTTCCACTTCATCAGTGGTGTATTAGTAGTCGTCTGTGTAGCAGTCTTGCTTGTCGTCTTTGTCGCCATCTTCTTCTGCTTCATCCTCTTCAACGCCAGTCTTCTTCTTCAGCTTCTTTGTAGTCATCACCTTTGTTGTCGTCTCCTGTTCTGTCGTCTTTGTCATCTTCATCTGCTTCTCTTCGTCTTCATCTTCGTTATTCATCGTCGACATCTCTGTTGCCTGTGTCCTCGTCTTTGCCGCTGTCTGTAGTGTTGTTTTTCCTGTCGTCATTACCGTCTTCTGCATCTTTGTTAGCTTCTTATTGTCCTCATAGTTTATATTTGTGTCTTTGTCGCAATCTGTATAAGCCAATTTCTTCATTGTTATCTCCATCATCTTCCTCATTTTCTGCGGCTTCTTCTCTTCTGTCTTCTTCATCATCTATTCTACATCTTTGTGGTCTTAATCATCTGCCATTTTCTTTGTCGTCATCAATTTTGGCTTCTTCGCCATCTGCGTCAATGTCTTCTTAGTCTTCTTCAGCTTCTTCACAGTTGTCTTGGTTGTTGACGTAGATATCATCTTTGTCATCATTTTCTTTGTGGTCATCTTCTACTCCATCTTCTTTGTTGCTTCATTGACTTCTTCAGTTTGTCTTCATATTCTTGACCTTTGTTGTCTTCTCTATTGCCACCTTCTGCATTGCTGTCATCTTCTTTGTAGTCATGTTCAGCTTTGTCTTTGTTTGCTTTGTTCATTGTCTCAATCTTGGTTGTCGTCTTCGGTGGTTTTTTTGTCATCCTCAGCTTCTTCCTCTTCTTCGTCGGCATTGCTATCTTTGGCAATGTTGGTTTAGTCGTCTTCTTTGTCATCTTCTTCATTGTTGATCTCCATGTTTCTTGCTTCATCACCTGTTTGTTGTCTTTATTTCCTACACATCTGTCTGCTACTTTCTTCATCGTTGTCAGCTTCTTCATTGTCATCTTCCTAGTCACTAGCTATGCTATATTTGTCAACATTGGCATTGTTGTCTTTTCGTATTAACCTCTTCTGTCATATTCTTCTCGTGCTTCATTGTTGTATATCCTCTTCTCCATCTTAAGCTGCCAC